CTTTAATATCATTAACATTTATATTGGAATTTTCTCTTACATCAACTTGTAATTTTTTTCTCAACCAAGTTGAACTTAGCAACCTCACCCTATATTCTCTACTGCATGTGTGTTTATCAATAATTTTTCTCAATTGCCAATGTCTTTTTTTTTGATAACTTGGCATAAAATGTCACCTATTTGCATTCACCTTTACATACCACTCATACTCTTTCACTATTATTCTTTTGAATCTTTGAGTCCCTACCAAAGTGAATAGCATATGTCTTTATAGCCTCTTTAAAATCTTCTCTGAATGCAAATAATGTGCCTAACTCTCATTTGTAATCGGACATTTTTTCACACTTGTTCTTGATTTTTTTTTGTCCTTGACTTCTTTGTTTTTTTTCCCCTTTTTTCTTACATTTTTTTTTTGCAAAAGATTTTTTCTCTATTTGACTGTTATCAACCTTCTTTGGTTAGTCCTTATCTCCCTCTTCCACTTTAACCTCTTCCTGTTCCACTTCAACTTGTCCTTGTTCTACTTCAACCTCTCCTTGTTCCACTTCAAAATTTTCTTGTGCTACATCTCCTTCAACACCTAACTCCTTAACTTGCACTCCATCAACATTTATGGGATATTCAAGTAATGGAACATTCATACATATCTCAGCTTGTGAAATTACATGCACTACATACAACTCCATTTTTCCATAACACTTTGACACTATGGCCATCTTCATAGCTCCTTTATCAACTTTTAGTTCCTTCAATCCAACATCAAGACCTTTTTCACCTATTTTGTACCACATACTATCAACCACATCATATCCCAAATCACGTATCTCATCCAAACACTCAAAACAACTTGAAAAATCTTTTTCACAGTCTCATATACTTGTCTCACCTCCAACTTACTTAGTCTTTTGTGAATTTTCAAACTTGCCACTATGGTGAACTTATACACATAATTTACCCATCTCCTATGACCCAAAAAAGTTAATAACAAGAAAACTTAAATTTTAAAAAGATGAAATCTTTTAAATATTCAACAATGTTGTCACTCCTATCATCCCGCAAAACATGAATAAAATAATATACTTAACACATGTAGAGAATAAATTTTAGAAATAAGAACATCCTTTATAACCTTGATGTTCGATTGTACTTCAAATATTCAAGTTTTACCAATAAGAACCTCTGATAACACGAAATATTTTGCTTTGGGAATAGATTTTTTGCTTTCAATATCTCAAATTCCCTCTATAATACAGTGACAGTTTCCCTCCCTTAAGTGTGTTTCAAGTAACTAGTATCTCCATGTGTGACAATGGCTTTCAATTCAAGACTACTATTTCTAGAGTCCAAATAGGACTAAATAAACCACGTTAAGGCCACTTTAACGCCACATAAGATGCCTATGTTAAATTATATAATAGACCTAAAGGAAAGGACTAATGTACGAAAAAAATAAAACTTCAAGCACGAAATTGAATTTAAAAAAAAGTTAAAGACTAAAACAGAATTTATCCTAAAGTTAAAGGATCAAAAGACTAATTTTGTCAAAAAATTAATATTATAATTATTACCTAATTAATAAAATAATTAAACAAGTAATCATAAAATCATATATGTATACATACATACATATACATACACACACACACACACACACACACACATATATATATATATATCATTTTGTTCACTTTTATTTATAAATAATAAAAATATTTAATATTGAATAATTTTATGAATTATATGATCTGAAATAAAAAATTACATAAATACAAAAAACTAACATGTTCTTTCTTCTACCACTCTTTATTATTTTTCTTGTAGTTGCGATTCCTTAACAACTTTTTGCATGTATATATAGGCAACAAAATTCAAATAAAATAATGTATCCAAATATTTATCTAAGGGTAGAAGGGGGGGTCAAAACAGACACACAAGAATCATCCTTCTAAGGACAATACTGGAATCGGCTCTGACCTAGACGACACCCAATTCTAGATGACACGTTTCTTGCATAACATTTGTCTACGACACATGTTCCCTGCATGACACATGGCTACGATAGGACAATCCCTATCTGTGCCGACACACTCCCAAGTTGCCACGTCACACACAATCTCGACCCTATACCAAACAATTCTTATTTTTTTTAATATAAAATAATAAGTGTCGTCCAAAGAAGGAAAGACACTAGTGCCACTTGTAATTCTCATCCCAAATGGAGAAATTGTTTTTGCAATATCTTATTTTAACAATTTTTTAAAATAATTAACCACAATCAAGCAAAAAAAAAACCTATGGTATCTTGATTTTTTTCCCTTTGTAATTAGATTTTACACATTTATGCAACATCGATGGGACACATTGAAGCATGTGTATCCATGGCTAACCTAGTAGGATATGTTAGTTGGACTCTTCATCCACCACTTTAAATATATTCTCCCTTTTGATAGGTTGACTTCTAGGTTTATTGTTACCTAATTCTTCATGGTGACATGTGCCCTATGAAATGCATCTTAACTTTATTAGTCTACCTTTACTTATCCCCAAAGCCAAAAAAAAAGAGGTGGCACATGCCTGATCCTCCATCTATTAGTGCTCGTCATACTTTGATCCCTTCCACTGTCACCACAACATACGACGAATGGTTATGCACCCATTTGTCAGCTAGTGATTTATTATTGAGTAATCTATAATATTTTATACTTGTTCAATGTTAATTGAAGGATTATTTGGTACTGGAATAGATTTAGATGGACTTTGAAATTATATAATAAAAAAAAAAGTGAACAGTACCGTATGAACAATGCCGAATCAACAGTAAAACTGCCTATGAACAGTGCAAACCGCGTATGTACAGTGACTGCTGATGTCATCAGTGACATCATCATGACGTCATGGCTGACAACACAAACGCGTACAGTACGCGTGCACAGTATTTTTCGGCGTGAATAGTGCCCTAAACAGTGTTTCTGGCGTGAACAATGTTTCCGGCGGTGAACAGTAAATTTCAAAAAATTTCTATAAAAGGGGCTTCACACAAAATTTTCATTTCTTCATTCCTCTTCAAGGTTCTCAAAGGTTCTAAGGTCGTATACTATCCTTTTCTCTCATAATAAACCCTCCTAAACTTAGATTTTTCGCCAGATCTGAGATTCTACGTCTATTCTGAAGGATTTGAAGTAAGTTTCTTTAAGTTTGAAGCTAGATTTACCGTTCGTTTCTCTTCTTCTTCTCTTTCTCATAGAAGTTCATGGTGTTCTTAGGAGAAACTTCATTCTAAAGCCAAATCTTCGGTGAATCATGCTATAAAATAAGTAATATTCGGTAGATCTAGTGTGAATCATCGTTCTGAGGTAAGGGGAGTTTACTTTAACCTATGAACTACGTTTTGAACGGTTTAATATGCTATTTCAAGATGTTTTAATATGATTTTGTTAGATCTATTGAATAAAAGCTATTTTCTAAGCTGTAACTGCTGTTAATTGATTTAAAATACTGAGATTTTGGCTGATCTACTATAAACTTGCCTTAGTTGAGCTGTTAAAATAATTTTGGCGGTGTGCATCATGCTAAGATATGTTTTGCATCATTATAAAGCCGAGTTACATGTTTAGATGGGTAGACATGTAACGGTAAGTTCATGTTGAGCTGCTGTGCTGTGCTATCTGGATCTAGATACCGGAATGGGTCGCTCCTGGACCGGCTTGGTTCCTTCTGAAATACTTAGGCTGTGAAACCACTTAGAAACCGTTTTCATGTTATGCATTAGATGGGCTGGAAATGCATGGGGTTATTGCTGTGAGAAATATTTTGCTCTACATATATGATTTTATTTTATTTTCGTAAACTCACCCTTGCATTTTTTTTTCTATGTCGTTGTGTGCGTGTGTGCTGCGATGATCGTATGATGGTAAGTGAGCAGATGTAGCAGGTGTTGCATCTACTTAACAGGCTGAGGGGCCAGTGAAGAAATGTTAGAAGCTGGGGTCGAGTAATATTGCATCAAAGTCCTTTTTCCCTTATATTTTGAGACCTCGTGTAGAGGGAGCTATATAGTATAATTTTGGGTATTTTGAATATTATGAACTAAATGTAATATTATGTTGTTCTGTTGGATATTTGTTGTATGAAACTTTGTTTTATTTTAATTGAGAAGAGAATTTCATACTTATATTCTCTATTATTTGTTTGTCTTAAATAAGTATGTGATGAACAAACAATGTTCTCGGTTCCTTACAAAAAGGGATTGTGACATTTTAGTGGTATCAGAGCATAGTCTAGGTAAACCTACGAGGTGAGGTTGTTAGGCGTCAATTGTGCATATTAGATATGTGAGTTTTAGCTGTGAATCATATATCATGATTTCTATTTATTAAGTTGTGAGGGAACGAGCTTGATCACCTCAGACATGACTGATGTAGGAAACTTGGTATATGATACTTGGGTGAGCTATAGGTGAGTCATACTGTGTGAATAAGAGGCTGTTGAGCTAAGTTGTAAATGATTGCTGAGATAAGTGTGTTTGCTATACTGTGTGAAATGTTGATATGATGTTGTGCTCAATGCTAAATTGATTAAATTGTTATGATATACTAAATATGAATATATCATTGTAAGCTGAATCTGTGAATATAGCTATATGGTGGCATTGCTGAATGTGTTAAACGTTAGTAATCTAAGCTAGTCTATATATTAGGATGGCTAGACCAAGAAGATCTGCTGCAAACCCTCCTCCTGCTGATGTGAACCAAATGGCTCACGCCATGGAGGCCATGGCAGCCACTGTTAGGCGGAGTCTAGATATGATTCAACAGCAGCAAGCTACAAACCAAGCCGCTGCTGCAGCATAGGCAGCTGCAGCTACTGCCTCAGCTGCACCTCCTCCTGAATACCATGGGTTGTTAGAGTTCAGGAAGAATGATCCTCCTCAATTCACGGGGGTGGATGGACTAGATGCTGCTTAACTCTGGATCAGAGAGATTGAGAAGATCTTCCTAACTATGGGTTGCGCCGAGGAGAGAAAGGTGTTATATGCTACTTATATACTGACAGGGGATGCAGAGATGTGGTGGCACAGAGCTCGTGCTATGCTGGAGGCCCGAGGTGAAGTCATCACTTGGGCTGTATTTAGAAGTAGTTTTTTGGGAAAGTTTTTCCCTTCTCATGTTCGTGCTACCAAAGAGCGAGAGTTTCTAAACTTGGTGCAAGAAAACTCATCAGTCTATGAGTATGCAATACAGTTTGAGCGGCTTTACAGATTTTATTCTCACCCGACTTCGGAGGAGTGGAGATGTCAGAGGTTTTCAGACGGGTTGAGAACTGACATAAAGAGGATTTTAATCCCACTTAGGATCACGAAATTTGCTGACTTGGTGGATCAAGCCACCATTATAAAGAGTCTTAATGCAGAGGATGTTGGTGGAGTTGGGAAGGCTCCATCTAGTAGAGCTGCTAGTAGCTATGGTAATGGAAGTAAGGGTGCTAAGAAGGGCCCTTACAGTCAGTCGCTACGCCAACAACAATCTCGACCATCTCAGTCGAAGGGATCGGCAGCATTAGCTCCGGTGCCAGTAGGGACTGCTACCTTTACATTTCAGCCTAGGGGAGCAACTTCTTCCACTCCTAGAGCCTCAGTGCCGCAGATTGTCAGATGTTTCAGATGTGGTGGGCCACACTACCTGAGCCAGTGCCCACAGACTGATGTTAGAGTTTGCTTCTCATGCCAGCAGCCAGGGCATCTTGCTAGGGACTGTCCTACGCCTAGTGGGGCAGTTTCGTCTTCTGCTAGCGCCTTGCACGCTGTGAGACCTAAAGCGACTAGAGCACCGACGAGAATTAGATCGAGAGCAGAGGGACGTGTATTCACTACTTCTGCATCAGAGGCAGCCCAGGCAACATATCTCGTTTAGGGGACAGCGGTAGTGGCAGGTACTTCTCTTTCTGTATTGTTTGATTCTGGAGCCACGCACTCTTTTATTGCGGACATTTGTGTGAAAACCTTAGGGTTACCAGTGAGAGATCTAGGATGTGAATTGGTAGTATCAACACCTACTTTAAGTTCGATTAAGACTTTGACGGTTTGTGTTAGGTGCCACATAGTAATTGAGGGACGAAAGTACAAAGTAAACCTTATTTGTATCCCGATGTCAGGGTTAGATGTAATCCTGGGTATGGATTGGCTAACTGCTAATCGTGTACTAATTGATTGTGGCCGGAGGTGTTTAGTCTTTCCTGAGCAGCAAGGCTGTCTGGAATTGATTTCTACTCGCCAAGTAGCAACATCCTTAGGTGAGGGAGTATCTTGTTTTGTTTTGTTGGGAGTTATGAATGCAGAAGTGGAGCAAAGCCTTCAGTCAATACCAGTAATACGAGAGTTTCCTGAGATTTTTTCAGAGGATATTCCTGGAATACCTCCACGTAGAGAGGTGGAGTTTTCTATAGATTTAATTCCTGGAGCTGAGCCAGTGTCTGTAGCACCTTACAGAATGGCGCCGAAAGAGTTGATGGAGCTTAAGGAGCAGATCGAGGATCTAATGTTGAAACAGATGATTAGGCCGAGTGTATCACCTTGGGGAGCACCAATTCTCTTAGTGAAATAGAAGGACGACAGTTCTAGATTATGTGTTGATTATCGCAAGTTGAATAAGTTGACAATTAAGAATAAGTACCCGTTGCCGTGGATCGATGATTTGATGGACCAGCTGAAAGGTGCTAAGGTATTCTCTAAGATTGATTTGAAGTCTGGGTACCATCAGATCCGAGTGAAGGATGAAGATATTCCTAAGACTGCTTTCTGCACTAGATATGGCCACTATGAGTATATAGTGATGCCCTTTGGAGTCACAAATGCTTCAGCTGTGTTTATGGACTACATGAATCGGATCTTTAGACCTTTCCTGGATCGATTTGTGGTAGTCTTTATTGACGATATTTTGATTTATTCTAGTTCGTCAGAGGAACATGCAGAGCATTTGAGGACTGTACTTAGTGTTTTCAGGGAGAAACAATTGTATGCTAAATTGTCTAAGTGTGAGTTTTGACTAGAGGAAGTGAAATTCCTTGGTCATGTTATTTCCGCTAAGGGAATTGCAGTTGATCCTTCCAAAGTTGAAGCGGTGTTGCAGTGGGAAAGGCTTAAGACAGCCACAGAGATTCGTAGTTTTGTAGGCCTAGCAGGTTACTACCGGAGATTTATAGAGAGATTTGCGAAGATAGCTGCACCATTAACACGGTTAACTCGCCGTGATCAACCCTTTGTATGGACTGAGGAATGTGAGCAAAGCTTTAATGAGTTGAAGCAGAGACTAACTTCCTCGCCAGTGTTGATTCTCCCTGATACTAGTCGACCGTTTGAGGTGTACTGTGATGCTTCCCATCAGGGATTGGGATGTGTGTTAATGCAAGATAAGAGAGTGGTAACTTATGCATCTCGCCAATTGCGATCTCATGAGCGAAATTACCCGATTCACGACCTTGAGTTAGCTGCTATAGTCTTTGCTCTGAAGGTGTGGCGACACTATCTTTATGGAGCTCAGTTTGATGTGTATAGTGATCATAAGAGTCTGAAATATTTATTTGATCAGCGAGAGTTAAATATGAGGCAGAGACGCTGGGTGGAATTCCTTAAGGATTATGATTTTCAGCTCCAATACTATCCAGGAAAAGCTAATGTGGTGGCCGATGCATTAAGCAAGAATGTGGTTCAGGCATTCTCCTTAAGAGTTAGTGAAACCCTTTTGGTAGAACAATTTCGAGACCTGAACATACATGTGGACTTATCACCTGAAAAGATTAGTTGCAGCCGAATTGTGGTGACTAATAATTTCTTACAGGAAATTAAAGACAAACAACTGTGGGATCCGATGTTATGTCGGATTGTATTTCTCTTAGGGACAGATAAAGCAAAGGGTTTTAGTAAAGGTGCTGATGGTATTCTCAAATGCTAAGGTCGAGTTTGTGTCCCTAGAGATACTGAAGAAGGACATAAGGGTAGTCTCAACATTCATCCTGGTGTTACTAAGATGTATCAAGATCTAAAGCAAATGTTTTGGTGGTCAGGCATGAAGCGAGAGATAGTTGAATTTGTTAAAACTTGTTTGACTTGCCAGAAGGCAAAGGCGGAGCACCAAAGCCCTCCAGGAGAGTTACAGACAATGGAAATTCCAGAGTGGAAGTGGGACCATGTGACTATGGACTTTGTGTCCCATCTACCTAGAACAGTTAAAAATCATGATGCCGTATGGGTCATAGTTGATAGGCTAACCAAGAGTGTGCATTTCTTGCCAATTAACATGACCTTTAACTTGGAGAAATTAGCGGAATTGTACATTAGAGAGATTGTCAGGTTACACGGAGTACCTTCTAGTATTATCTCAGATAGGGATCCTCGATTCACTTCTCAGTTTTGGCAGAGTTTCCAAGAAGCTATGGGCACACAGTTGAGGTTAAGTTATGCATATCATCCGCAGACAGATGGTCAATCTGATCGTACTATTCAGACCTTAGAGGACCTATTGAAGACTTGTATTATAGAGCAGAAGAGTAATTGGGAGGATATGCTTCCTTTGGTAGAATTCACTTATAATAATAGCTACCGTTCGAGTATAGAAATGGCACCATTTGAAGCTCTGTATGGCAGAAAGTGTAGAACCCCTATCTGTTGGTTCCAAGATGGAGTACATTTGATGGTTGGGCCTGAAATGCTGCAAGAAACTAAGGAGAAAGTTGAACCTATTAGAGAAAAATTGAGAGCCACCCAGAGTCGACCGAAATCTTATGCTGACCGACGTAGAAGACCTCTAGAATTTGAGGTTGGTGATCACGTATTCTTGAAAGTATCACGCACTACAGGTGGGGGCGAGCCTTAAGAGTCAAGAAATTAACACCTAAATTCATAGGACCGTATCAGATATTACATCGTAGAGGACCAGTAGCCTATGAATTAGCGTTACCACCTCAATTGTCAGGACTAACTAATGTTTTCCATGTGTCGCAGCTAAGAAAGTATGTTTCTGATTCGTCTCATGTAATTGAGCCTGATGTTGTGGAGTTACGAGATGATTTGTCTGTGGAGGTCCCAGCTACTCGTATCGAGGATACTAGAGTTAAGGAACTTAGAGGCAAGTCTATTCGGTTAGTAAAGGTTGTTTGGGATCCAGTAACGGGTGATGCCACATGGGAGTTAGAGGAAAGAATGAGAGAGTTGTACCCTCATCTTTTCTTTGAGTGATAAAATTTTCGAGGACGAAAATTTATTTTCGGGGGGAGAATTGTCAGCTAGTGATTTATTATTGAGTAATCTATAATATTTTATACTTGTTCAATGTTAATTGAAGGATTATTTGGTACTGGAATAGATTTAGATGGAGTTTGAAATTATATATTAAAAAAAAAGTGAACAGTACCGTATGAACAGTGCCGAATGAACAGTAAAACCGCCTATGAACAGTGCAAACCGCGTACAAACCGTGTATGAACAGTAAAACCGCGTATGTACAGTAACTGCTGACGTCACAAACGCGTACAATGCATGTACAGTACGAGTGCACAGTATTTTTCGGCGTGAATAGCGCCATGAACAGTGTTTCCGCGCGTGAACAGTAAGGCGGTGAACAGTGTTCCCGACGATGAACAGTAAATTTCAAAATTTTCTATAAAAATGGGGCTTCACACGAAATTTTCATTTCTTCATTCCTCTTCAAGGTTCTCAAAGGTTCTAAGGCCGTATACTACCCTTTTCTCTCATACTAAACCCTCCTAAACTTAGATTTCTCGCCAGATCTAAGATTCTACGTCTATTATGAAGGATTTGAAGTAAGTTTCTTTAAGTTTGAAGCTAGATTTACCGTTCGTTTCTCTTCTTCTTCTCTTTCTCATAGAAGTTCACGGTGTTCTTAGGAGAAACTCCATTCTAAAGCCAAATCTTCGGTGAATAATTGATTTAAAATGCTGAGATTTTGGCTGATATACTATAAACTTGCCTTAGTTGAGCTGTTAAAATAATTTTGGCGGTGTGCATCATGCTAAGATATGTTTTGCATCATTATAGAGCCGAGTTACATGTTTAGGTGGGTAGACATGTAACGGTAAGTTCATGCTGAGCTGCTGTGCTGTGCTATCTGGATCTAGATACCGGAATGGGTCGCTCCTGGACCGGCTTGGTTCCTTCTGGAATACTTAGGCTGTGAAACCAGTTAGAAACCGTTTTCATGTTATGCATTAGATGGGCTGGAAATGCATGGGGTTATTGCTGTGAGAAATATTTTGCTCTACATATATGATTTTATTTTATTTTTGTAAGCTCACCCTTGCATTTTTTTTTCTATGTCGTTGTGTGCGTGTGTGCTGCGATGATCGTATGGTGGTACGTGAGCAGATGTAGCATGTGTTGCATCTACTTCACAGGCTGAGGGGCCAGTGAAGAAATGTTAGAAGCTGGGGTCGAGTAATATTGCATCAAAGTCCTTTTTCCCTTATATTTTGAGACCTCGTGTAGAGGGAGCTATATAGTATAATTTTGGGTATTTTGAATATTATGAACTAAATGTAATATTATGTTGTTCTGTTGGATATTTGTTGTATGAAACTTTGTTTTATTTTAATTGAGAAGAGAATTTCATACTTATATTCTCTATTATTTGTTTATCTTAAATAAGTATGTGATGAATAAACAATGTTCTCGGTTCCTTACAAAAAAGGGGTCGTGACACCATTCCCCTCCTCCTCTTGCGACATCCTTGAACACTAACGTCATTGTGTTCGGAGGGCAAGTGTACCCATCGAGAAGTAATAAAGGGTTCTTAAATTAAGTTCCCGAAATATCGTCCCACAAGTATTATTTTTCAAATACTAAGAATTTCCTAATTCAATTGTTTAAGCTTCAAAGATATGAGATTAATTAAAACAAGAA